AGAATCCTCCAAAATACTATTCTATTAGACTCAAATTGGCTAAGATACTATTTATGCAAATGTAGTCATAGCTTAATAAAATGTCGTAACAATGTAAAAGTCTAAACCTATGACTATGATAAACTATAGTGTTACACAAAAGCATATTGTCACGTTATTTTTGTAACAAAATTTAGGGTGCATTGTAGATCTATCAAAATTGATACTGCAGATCTATCAAAATTGATACTTTTGCGATACTGGGGTAGTTCATTATCAGTCACCTGAGTCACCTGGACTGTTGCATACTATATATGCACTGTCTCTGACGGCATTTATTTTCAGTCCTTTGAATTTATTACTGTTTTTGCCTCGTTATTGTCTTTTTTAAATCATAATGCTGTATAATTTGAAAAAAATACAATGAGTATAATATGTATAACTACTAAAAAATAAATATTGTAAATAAAACTCGCCTTAATTAACAAACTAAAAAGAAAAGCGCCAACCAAAATCGGAATATCAAGTCTATAAGCAGCTTGTAATGCATTAACGTAAATTTGCATGAGATTTTGTTTTACATCCATATCAGTTAGTTGCCAAAGATACAAGGGTTCACTTCTTGCTAATTCAATATCAAATGTTCCTGGGGGTTGTTTAGAATAATAGTTTACAAGTCCTTGAGAAAGTACATTATTGAAAATTGCACCTAAAATCGCTACACCAAAAATACCACCAACTTAAAAATGATCAAACAAATATGTTAGAAAATATAGAATTCATGTGGAATATAATTTTTCAAAAAAGTAAAAACTTACTAATACGACTAAAATTATACATAGCAGTAATAATAGCCAAATATTCAATCTCTACACAACTTTGTAGAGAAAGTAATGTAGTTTGAGCTATCAAACCAAGACCACATCCAATTAAAAGTAAATAACCAATTTGTTGACCTGCTGTCGAATTGGCATCAAAATATATACCAATAAGTACTGAACCAACAATTGTGATTAAAGAACCGATCCAAATAATTAAATACAGTTGAAACTTCATACGGGCAAAACCTATCAAGGAATACAAACAAATCCAAACAGCTGTAA